CGTTATACATATGTCATTTGATATATGAAAACCTTGACTTTCTATTGGTTATAGGTAATATACAATGAAACGTAAGAGAGAACTATCAACGAATTGTGAAAGAGAGGATGTGACAGGTGGGTGTGGCAGGAGGGGTCTGATTTTCTATTGGATAGCTCTGTAACCAAACAAAATTGAAGGCTATAAAAAGTATGTTTTGTTTGAGAAATAACGATTTTATAAAGAGTATTTTATTTTTAATTTCATACATTTTCGAGGGGTAATGGATAAAATAGGGATGATGACACGCTAAGACAAAATGTGTGTCACATGGGTCACACTAGTGGAAATTCAGGATTTTTTTATTTATTTTCTCGTAGAATTAAGAACTTAAAACGTGTATACTATTAAAATATGGATTATTAGCTAAGATTTTATGCTATTCTAATTGGTATATAACATAAACAAAAAGTAGTTTAATAAAATTTTGAATGTAAGACACTAAAACCATGTGTCATGCACAGTAAAGGGTACCCAGGACATTTTGGAAACAGATAATAAAATAATTCAGATTGTTAAATATGTAAAAGATATGGTATCAAAGGGTGTAAAAACTAATAAAAGCCATTAGATGTCATAATTATGTGCAATTAAATTTATTACTGCACATATGGAGCCATGAAATCAATCCATGTTTTGTCCTTGTGTGGCTTCTCCCAAGCTGAGATCAAGCTAAGTTGAGTAACTTGTATCAAGAACAACAGTTGAGTTTGAAAAAAGAAAAAAAATTGCTTGTTTAATGTAGTTATAATTTCTTCAGTTAAATTACATTTATTATCATCATGGAAAGGCATAATTTAAACTTCTTTGGCACAGACAAAGACTTCTGAGTTGTTCACCTTTCATTTTTGCCTGGTGGTTAGGGCACTCGACTCGCAATCTGTAGATTGCAGGTTCAAATTTCTTTCACACCAAACATACTTGCCCTTTGAGCTGTGAAGATATTATAATGTAATGGTCACTCCCACTATTGATTGGTAAAAGAGTAGCCCAAGAGTTGGCGGTGGGTGGTGTTCACTTTTACTGTGTGAAATTCAAAACAAACCAAACTTTTCACTTTCATTCGGTTGCCATAGATAGCTTAGTCAGTGAAACTGTTCCTGAAATTTCGAAACTTTCGTCAAGAACTTATGAAACATATCATGCACCATGGATGGCAAGTTCAAATAAATTCTAAGACAGTTTTATTTTGGCATCCATGACTAAGATATGATAGCAAAGTAAAAGCTGTGTTTTGTGGCATTTGTATTAAAGCACAAGTAGTTCACAACTGGGCATTATGTGCTTAGGAAAACAAGTGTTACCAAACACTAATCCAGAAGAAATACATGACTTTGATTTTTACACTTATAAATGCTAATTGTGTGTTTAAAGAAAATCAAAATGTAGACTGTCTCTACCCTTGTGTTAATTTTCTTTTTTTCAGTTGTAGTAGTAGTAGAATAGTTGTTTTTTTAAATAGGTGTAATATTCTTTAAACCCATTAACTTCATCTGTTACTTGGGGTTTTTTGGATTGGCTGATTTTAAAATTTACATTAATCTTTTATCATCAATTATATAGTTATAGTGCCTTTAAAACATATAATTTGCTGTTTTAAGAGTACACTTGCTACTGTTTTATTTACTCTACATAGTCCATTTCATATTTAGATAGTCAGTTTATTCATTGATGAGGTCAACTTCTCAGAAAGAATCCAAATGAGATTTCCAAAAAAATCAAATGGTAGTTGAACAAATTCAAATTAAACCAAAGTCCACATGAAACTTTGAAAGGTAAATAATTCATAAATCTCCTGCTTTCATGGATGTATACACATTACAAATTCATCATTCAAAAGTTGGCTCCTGCTTTTGGAAATTGGTGATAGAATTTTAAAGTTCGTGGCTCCAACTTTTTATGAACCAGAGCATCCCTGTGTATATATACGTACATGGTTCCAGTTAAGTAGTTAATAATAAAGCCAAATTATGTAAAGTCATCGTATTCTACTGTACCCTCTTTATCTGTCTTACCCGTCAATGCATGTCACTCCCTGAAGGGCTCTTAGGGTACATGCCAGATTTGGTGATGATAAGCCCGTTGGTTCAACAATTATACATGGACAAACATACAGATTTTTTGTCAAATGGTTTAGTTTGAAAGTTGTATTTTGTTCTTCTAAAGATTAGTAGTTTTAAACTACTTAGTGGAAGAAAGCTGTGCATCAGGTTCTGGTTTAATACAAGTAAGAGTAAAGAAATGGTAATTTGAAATTTCTATAAAAATTGCATTTAGTTAATTGTAAACTGTTAGAAAAACAGAAAGTCTACTTAGAATTATATATTTGTCTTTGGTAAATCTTTCTATTGTGGAAAATTTAAATAATACACTAATTATTATAATATTGAAATTTTTTTAAAGATTGATGATGATGCAGCATCAACAAGCAGCTCACAGAGTCGGCACAGTTCTAGTAAGGGATCTCAGAAAGAAGGATCTGTTCATAAATCTGGGGAAAAAACCCCAGTAAATGGAACTTGTCAAAATGGCCAAATGCCAGAACAGGGACTTCAGAAATATAAGGAGTGTGCAGAAAAAAGCAAGTCAAAAGGAAAGTCACCACCTTTAAAGACAGAGCCTATGGATATTGATATCATACACAAAAAACCTATACATGAAAAAAATTCACATCATTTTCACCTACTTATCCAGGCAGCATCTGCGATGAATCCAAAGCAATTCCAGCTACCAAATGAATTGGTGTGTACGACACAACTTCCAGGTAAGTTTGGGTGGATCAACTATTAGAAGATGTACTAGAATTCTGAACACAGGCAACAGATTTCCCATATTATCTATAGTAGTTTAAATAAATAAATTTTATTTGGACAAAACACATACTTGAAATACCTTTTTTTTTTCAGAAGTTCAACTGTGGAATAAATATTATACCATGAAACATAACTAGACTAAGCAGATGCAGATGTTAAGTTGTATTTCCTTAACCCTCTCTCTACGGGCATCTTTTTCCAATAAAGTACTCTCCATCTGCTCCCAAGATTAGCTTTTCTTGTCTTGTGCTGCCCTCTGTACGCTAAGTTTTTCAAAAACGCATGCCACAAGCCTTCATCATCCATCTATTGGAATCCCAAGTTCCAACACATTTCTCATGTAAAGCATCAGGCATCACCCATCCACCAATAGAAGAGCACTACTATCACATGATGCGTGTGACTCTCTCTACGCGCCACTACATAACTGTCAACTTTTGTTTGGCAGCTGTCGAGTTCAGACGTTCTTTCTCACATTGTTCAATTACTTTGAAATGGTTTATTTCTTCATATTTTATTTTTTTAGCTTTATTTACTGCACTTCATAGTTGTGGAGTTAATATTTCTATTAAAGCATTACTTCCTCATGTTTGCCACTTTTTCGCGTTTATGAATTCTGAAGTTACAGTCACCACTTCGGGTACTTCTGATGCTATATTTTCAGGCATGGGCAACTCGTCGGGAGATATATTGTCATTCCCCCCCCCCCCCCCCCCCCCCGGGTTTGCCAAACCTTCATGTTCAGTACCTGATGATTCAGCTTGTTCCCGTTATTAGTCCTTTCAGACTTTATGTCTCAGGTATGTGATGTTTTGTCTCTTACACATTTCCTATGACCATAAATCTTCCTTCATACATTAAAACAACTTCCCAGCCCTATTTACTCGTTTCCCCATCCCCCAATATTAGGGTTCACTCGGACTGATTTGTCTTTCATCTGGGAAAGGGCATTAGTGTGCCTGATCTCCCACAGACTTTGGATCAGTCTGCTCTTTCTTATCATTGAGCGGACTTTCGCTTTCTCCACCAACAGTTGTTATCGTTGGTTCTCCCTGTTTGGAGGGGCGAACCCAGATTACCCTGTTCAACTTACCCAAGCCCAATTTTCTTGCCTTTGTCTCAACCTCATGACCCTGTTAACCCGTTACCTGTCATGGCCATTTTGTCTTATCGTGAGGGTAAAATCACATTTATGAATTTAAAAAATTATACAGAAGTTATCTTTTATTGAATTTCAGATTTTATTTTTGTAAATAGTAGCATAAC